GAGCAAAATGGTGTCACGTCATCTGCTTCCATGAGGTATGTGATAAACTGGAATTGAAGTGCTCAGCACAGGGCCTGGCACACGGTAAATGCACAGTAAATACTAATGATAATGCTAATACATAGCTGCTATGATTACTGAAACAGCTGCAGCCCAAGCCCTCTTAACGGTGATTCTCAGATGGATGGGTCAAGGAGCTAGCTGGTTCTTTCTGGGTCTGCTCCACTGCTCACAACACCCCCACAGATAAATGGACTCTCCTCTCTGGCCCTCCTCTACCCTGTGGGTACACAAAGTCCCCTGCCCATTACCCACAGGACTGGGCTGAGCCTCCCACCTTCTGTTCACCTTGGAGGGGTGAAAGAGCAGAGGCTAGGGTCAGGTCAGCCAAGGGAAGGGAGAGGAGGTGGGGCAGAGGAAGCCACCATGCCTGAGCCGCACTCACATGGCTGTCCTCCCTCCTCCTGTTTTCTGCATGCCGGCCAAGTGCTGGGAACCAGGGGTGCAGACTAAGTCAAGTGGGCTGTGCCCTTTGGTATATGAAATTCACTCCCCAAATATGAGGAATCTGGCTGAGAGGCTCCCACTCACACCTAGAGTCTCTCCTGCATGCAGATGAGCCTGAGCCCTCTGTGCAGTCCATCTGTCACCTGAAATACAGAGCCTCCAACAATCTGAAGGGGCCTGGGACTGCTGTCACAACCGAGACAACCATCCACATCTACTTCACAAGAGGCTCATCCCCCACAAAGTAGTACCCAGTGTAGCTGGCACCTTCCCCTCCAGGCCCAACTACCAATGATTGCCAGTCATGGCCATTGCCCAAACCACCTGGCAGCTCCCAGAGGAACTGTCCTGTCTAGGCCTCATTAAAGAAGGTCTTATGGGTCTGTGCCAGGACCGGGCAACAGAGACCAAGAAAACCCAGACCCTGCCCAGCAGATCTTAAACTGATAAATCTTTAAATCTGAAGACATGCAGGAATAAGTCTTTTTCATGTTTGAGATGTGGTGGAAGGCTTGGCTATAGAAAGGAAATACCAAGAAAGGTTCGCATAGTTTAGTTTATTAAAGTGAAACACACAATATGGGGGAACCAGAACATAGTTCCCTGTTAAAATAATACATTTGAGGAAATGTTTCTCCAGCTATCACTGTAACTGATCAAGCATGTGACATTGTTCTTTTACAAGATATATAGTTCCTAACACTCATGCAGAGAAGACCGGATCGAGGACCTTACCTGTGCAATATGTTGTGTAGGGTGCCAGTGATCCAGTTGATTGCCTGTGACAAGCAGAGACAAAGAGCCCACACAGACATACATATTCAGTGTCTTGAGTTTTCTTTCAAAGAAAGTATTTCACACATCATGTACAAATTAAACACAAAGTCCAATAAGAGTCCTTTATTGCCACTGAAAAGGGGGGAAATGATTTACAATCTCATAACCAAAAGCAAGAACAGAGCCCTAGGGCAATTTGTTTCTGCAAATGCCATAGTCCCACGCGTTCCTGCCAGTTGATGGTGCATCCCAGTCACTGAGTCCCAAGACAAAGGTTGAACAAGGTCATGGGGTTGTGATTATCCACCCTGGAAGAAGCCTCTTTTGTTCCCAGATGCCGGAAGTGCTGCCGCTCTCCTGCTTGGTCAGTAGATACACAACACAGCTGAATACGAGGGGCTCAGGACTCTAAATAGTGCAAACACTTAAAAAATATACATTCCAACCTCCTTGCTTCTACTGGCAAACAGAGCCTCAAAAACTCCACCTAACTGGAATATGAGTGTGCTCAGCCTCCCAACTTGATCCAACGAGGTGCAAATGGGGAGCATGGAGGTGATTTAAATGGCACCTGTCCCAACAACAATACAAATAAATGTTTAAAAAAAAACCATGAGGCTATGTTAGATAAATACACAAAACAGAGCCTGGAGTGGAGACACAGCTCGGGAGATAAGTCCCAAGTGTAGCGTGAGCATCTGCAGAGCGCGTGCTGAACACGTTCTTCTCAGGGACCATGGTGGACCCCTCCAGGTGAGACAGGGACAGATGCTTCCAAAAAAAACCTGGCAGCAAATACCTTAGGTCCTGGAAGTTTCAGAAGAATAAGAGAACAGAACAGAATGAGGAATGGTCTGCTGGACCCAGAAAACTCAAAGAGTGTGGGCTGCCGGGCAGGCCACACTCTGCAGTTGTTCCATGCCCGTGGGCCAGGCTCAGTACCAGACAGTAAGAGCTACAAGAGGTGGGCCAACCCAGCCTCACCCCTCAGGAAGCAGACTCCAAAAAAACAGCTAGACAGACAGACAGACAGACAAGCAGTATAGTTGGGTAAGTGCTAAGTTAAGCTTAACATTAGGCCCTAGCAATTTAAGAAACACCAGTGACTGCAGTTTCTTTTCCCACCACCCCTTGGTGCCAGGGATTGAACTCAGGGGCTCATGCATGCTAGGCAAGCACTCTACTGAGCAACATCCCAGCCCAGTTGCATTTAAATTTAACAGTTTCCCTTGAATATGGTATAAAAATGGAGGCCCATCTACCTGGAGCCCCTGAAAATCTGTTTGAGGAGGGGGAGAAACAAAGGGAAGACAGCAACAGGTACAGATTGTGTGTGAGACTGAATGAAGTACAGAACATAACATTTCATCACGGTGGACAATAAAAAGCAAGTCAGATATTTGAAAAATGATCTTATAAAAATATCTACATTAAAATTTTAGCCTGAAAGCTATAGCTTCAATTTTATAAAAAGACAATCTTTGAAAGGATCTGGCTCAGAAATATACAAACATTACACAACAGATACCAAAGTAAGACAGCTCAGAAAGCATCTGAGGGGATATTGCAACTGGCTTGTCATGAAATAGAATTAAGTATTCTTATTGCATAGCAGAAAATGAGGTCACTTCATTTGCATAATACTGCAACTTTTGAGATGAAGAGATGCCATTGGGTACTTAAGAGAAATAACTTTGGAATTCACAAGCTGATTTCTACACTGTCCAAATCAGTATCCAAGTGGCGTCTAAGCTGCTTCTAACCTTGGGCCTCAATTCCATTTCCCCACCGCAATCAGATTCCAGATATGCCACTGGCAAAGCCGCTTTTGCAAGCAGTAGTGGCCACCCCAATGGGGGTGGGAAGGGGGAGATGTCACGTACCATGTGACCTGCACTGACTTAAAGTCAGTCTGATGTATCCACTGTGGGGAAAGAATAATACCTGGGGATAAAGAGACAGCAGTTTCAGGATGGCATCTGTGGGCAGCCACAGAAGAGTGGCTTTTTGGTAGTGACATGCCAGTGTCCTAGTCCCCATGAGAAAAGATGCATGAGGATGAAATAAACACGCCTCAGCAGCACTGCCAGCAGGGACAGCGCCTCCTAGGCAGGGAGATGCCAGGTGGGGCCAACAGCGAAAACCCAAAGGCAGAAAACACAGCTGACTAGCTTTCAGGGGAGGGATCTTTCTGGGAAGATGACACACAAAAACTAGCCTTCCCCATGTAAGCACAAATGTCTAGCTTCTTGGTGGTGGGAGAGGGGATGGGAATTCGCCTCTCTTCTGATTGGAGGGCTTGTGTGAACAGCATACCTCAACCTCATTCTTACTACACGTACCGTCCTCCAAACAAGTGCTAGAACTTCTTTGGAGAGAGAGGAAGGACATTTGGAATAAAAAGCTTATTCTATCAACTTCCAACCCAGGGATAGGCAGAGCTCTGAAAATCACAGCCATCCCTGCTGTGAGACAAATCCCTGCTGGGTAAGACCAGAGCACCTAACTCAAGCATGCCTTGATTCTTCGGGAAACATCGTCTAGTTCCACCCAAGCTGTACTAAAATATCCTCTTACCAAGGCTATAAAATCTCCTGGGTACCTTGATGCTCTCCAAACATCTCACTGAAATAACACTTGCTAAATACTGGGAAGAGAAATTTCAACTACAGGAGTGTTGTACAGGAGTGCACAATAAATATACTACCTGGACATCAGGAAAGGTTAACCCAGCTCCTAAAGTGTGAGACTATTCAAGACACAAAACGTCAATGTCACAATTCCAAAATGAATAGTTTTCTAGCTTGGAAACTGCATGGCTTCAAGGTTTTGTTTTGTTTTTTAGTACAAATGACCCCCTGCACCCTCAAATATGCCACTCCAGATGCTTGAAATTCTATCATTGATAATTCTGACCAATGACTTAGCAAAGCTCTCATCAAACTCCTCTTTTAAAATGCAAGTGTCCTGGGAAGAGATCTCAAATCTAGGGTCCACTGCCATCTCCCCCCTCACAAGGGAAGCAAAGAGGGAAGGTGTCCTGAAGGCTGAGGCACAAACCCTGAATTGGAAGGAGAGCACAAGAAAAGGGAGACAAGCACGAGACAGACCTGACCCTTGTCACAAAGTCCAAGGGCTGACACCAGTGGGTATACTCCTTGAAGTCCTTCATGGCCATCCGAATCATATGACCCCAGCCAACACAGGGACAGAACTATCTCTGGGTTTGATGGAAGGGTGACCTGTTACTTATCCTCCAAATCAGAACACTTGTCAGTATAATTTGGTGCTGTGAATAATGAGACCCAAATGATAAGTATACATGGGGGCTGTCCTGTCCTGGGAAACCCAGAAGTCAGACGCCTTTCTGAGACCACTGTGGGCAGGGATTGAATCCTTACCACTTTGGTTTTTTGTTTTTGTTTTTGTTTTTTTCTTATATATTTTTTTCTCCAGTGTGATACCTGGGCTTCTCTGAAGAATTTGTTTTCCCTATGGAAGAGACACAAAATCTTCCAAACCCAGAATCCATGACATCAAAGATCAGAGGCCCAGATATGAAGACTAGGCCATTCTCACCTTCCCAGAGGAGAGCCTGAGGAAGAATGTCTGGCGAGGAGCACAGATTCTGTTTGCTCCCTGGCCTGGTACCCAGAGGACATGGCAGCTTCAAGAAAGGCCCAGAGCTACAGTAGTCAAGTCACCTGTACAGGTACGGTCAGAGGACTGCCCTGCCCTGGCCGATTACTCCTAGACATGCCCAGCCTATCCAAGTGGATCCCCAGAAGACAGCAGCTATGGCAGTCTTGGGGTTTCCATGGGACAAATCCAGAAGAGAGGTTTCTGTGATTTTGAGTTTTAGCATGGTGAAGGGATCAGTAGTAAAGAAATCCAGTGGGACGATCACACATCACACATCCCCACACCCCAGCCGAGAGAAACACCATGTTTTACACACACACACACACACACACACACACGGTTCTCTGTTGTCCCTGTAGAAACAAGAAAAAAAGCCCAAAGGTGCTGCTGAGGCTGTCAGGAACTCCGCTGCTCAGGGTGGAGGCCAAAGCACCTTGGGGGAGAGGGAGCTGGGTCACCCGAGTCCACGCTGCGAGAGGCTGCACCGGTGGGAGAGGGTGCTGCTCACACCACCTCGGACCCTCCCAGTGAGTTGAATCCAGTCGTTACGGTCCCGCGGCTCCCAGTCACAGGCAGCACCTGCTCCTTCCTCCGTCTCTTAGCAGTGGGAGTTTGGGTCACAAGGACTTGTGGATCACAGCAACACCTAACATGAAAGGGGAAGAAAGTGATCACCTTAGCTTCTCCAAAGTTATTCAGAGTCCCAGGGAAGACAGCCTAAGTCACAGCTGAGGGAAATGGGTACACTTTTTATCCAAATATTAAAGGGTTTGTGAACCTGGGCTCCCAGCACTCAGCTATTTCCCACTCTAACACCCAAGTCCTGGCAAGACATTTAAACCCACGGGCACAGTCCCTCAAACACTGCAGGTGGGTGGACTCATCCTACACCATCACAAAGATCATCCAGATCTGAGACATCTCAGCTAATCTGCAGGCAGCACCCTCATTGAGAATGCAGAGGCCCTGCACAGCTCTGTGTCTGTGTCACCACAGAGAAGTGATTTGTGTCTGATTTAGAAGACACTGAAATGAACTAGGAAGAACAGAAGACTGACTAAATGGAAGCAAAAAAATATTGAATGTAACCCTAGCTCTGCCACCTATCATCCTGCACTGTGGCCTTAAGCCAAGTCCAGTCACCTCCTTACACCCAGTTCCCACACTATTTAATGTCATCTTACCAAGAGGCTCTTCCAGTGCTAAATTCTTTAAATTCTTTCAGCACCTAACGTGGTAAAAGGTGAAAGAGTACAACTTGGTGAATCCATGTGTGACCTACAATCTCACCGTAGTAGACTGACGCTACATGAAAGACACTGTAGACCAAGTCCTCTGCCACAGACACCAGCTAGTTACATGCTTAGATTCCCAGACTACTCTGCAGCTGGAAGTGCCAGGTGGTCCAGTTGAGGCCAATGACATTGTAAATGCAAGTCAGCCAGTGTTGCAGCCTGGACTTGTCCTCATCCTTCCTGGGATGCTTATGCAAGGTCAAGCTATGAGAAAGCTGGCAAAAGAAAATGGAGGGAGATACCTGGTTCTTCAGTGACAGACTGGGTCACCAGTGAAACTGTGGATTTCTTCCTACCTGAGACAAATACACTTCCTTTCTTATACAAGCAACAGTCTGTCAGTTTTTCTGGCATCTGCTGCTAAACAAAATGCTAACTTAAACAGTGTCTACAGGTAAGATGGTTATGGGAGGCTTGTTTTAACATATTCTCACAACTGTAAATGTTCTGGTTGAAGAGAACATTGCTAAAAGAAAGCCCAGGATACCCCATAAGAGAGATTCTGCCAAAACATCCTTTCCTGGATAATGGTGACAACAAAGATGCGTGGAAGCAGAGAATCCTGAGTCTGGAAAAAGGCATGCCATATGACCTTGACAGCATCTCACCTCCACCCTGGACAACTCTTTCATAAGGTAGTTTTTGTTTTTTGATTTTTTTTTTTTTTTTTGTACCAAGGATTGAACCTAGGGACACTTAAACACTGAGCACATCCTCAGCCCTTTTTATATTTTATTTAGAGACAGGGTCTTGCTGAGTTGCTTTACAGCCTCACTAAGCTGCTGAGGCTGGCTTTGAACTTATAATCCTCCTACCTCAGCCTCCCAAGCTGCTGGGATTACAGGCAGGCCCACCACATCCAGCAGGTAACATTTTTTAAAGCAGGCTCCTGTATTGCTTTTTTTATATAAGCATTCTCTTTTGATTATAAAAGTAATATATTCTCATTATGGAAAATGTAGAACACAAAGAAAAAAATCTTTCAGCCTTTCACACAAAAACAACTGCCACTATCTTTTTGGATTATTTCTTAGCTTCTAATTTGCATAGTGATTATTTCTTAGCTTCACATTTGTTTACTGAGAGGTGTTCGGTGCCAGGCAGGCGCTGTGCAAAGCACTGTACACATATTATCCCATTTCATTCTCACAACAGCCCTCAGAGGCTCAGTGTAGTTTTGTTCCCATTTTACAAGTGATACAACAGAGGCTAAGTCAGACTGAATACCTGGTCCAGAGACCCAGGGCTAGCGGCAGAGCCAGGATTCAAGTTCAGATCTGACTCCATTATTCATTCCCAGACACAGTACCTGTTCAAGCCCACCACTGCCCCAAGGCAGAGCTACAGGACTGAACAGGGTACACACTGCCCAGCCCCCTTTAACTGAACTCCTGTCACAAATATTTTCTCATGACATTAAAAATACACTTCTGAAAAAATAGCCCAAAGATTAAGTATTTTCCTTATGAAAGACATTAAGTAGTTCTTGGTTTTTCGCTAAATAATTAACACTCCAATAAATAACTCTCTGAATCTTTACTTTTCTGAGAATGTCCCCAGACTTTAAGACTCAATGGGGCAATGGGATTGAACACAAAATTACATCCTTGTTTGTCTGCTTCCCACCTACATCTGGTGTAGGTAGAGAGTGAAAACAGGCACATGAAATATTCAGTACATGTAGGAAATTCTCACCAGCCATAGTGAAGCCCTCCCCTCTCATTAAGGCACATGTGGAGCCAAGGGGAGATCCCACCAGTGTTTCAACGTCTTATCCTAGAAAACAGCCTGCTCATCTCTCTACAATTTAAGAAAGTGATGGTGCTGATTTTCATAATTAGCCATTGGAACAGAATCGCTCTAGGAACAAAATGCTTCTAAAATCTTTCCTATTTAGCTAAAACAAAACAACAACAAAAAAAACATAATTTTTTCTCATAAGGTGAGAAAAAACCCTACAAGAGGAAAAAAGTGAAAGAAGTTCATTGCAATAGGAGCCTTGTGCTGAAAGAATGTGATAAAACCCTTTGGAGCCTGCCTGATACCAATGGAGTCCAGATGAGGAATAAATGAGAAAATGTTTATAAATATTCAGGATGAATATCTGGTACATTGTGTGTGCTCAATAAGTAAGTGTCTGGCCTAACTATTCCAGTTTCTGGAGACCAGATTCAGGAGCTGGGCTACATCGTGGCTATACATTTGCTTGCCTCCCCAAAGAACCTGGACTTTTACAATATCAACCCTTATGTCTCCCCAGCCCCTGTACCTTAGCAAACCCCACACACACTCCACAAAAAATAGGTAGACTCCACTTCAGCCTACCATTATTCCTACTGACCTCTTACCCCAATCCTGAGCCAGGGTAGTATAAGGGGTATAGCTTAGAAGTCAAACCCAAGACTGAATTCTGACTTTGCCATATGTTAGTTTTGTGGCCTTTGCCAAGTTAAACTCTCAAAACTCGGTTTTATTATCTGTAAAATGGAAGGACACAGTCCCATTCAGCCTTAGGGTGGATGGAAAAGAAGAGGGTAAATGTGTACACTGTACCTAACACACCCTCCATGGTACAGAGAGGGGCTCCCAGCAAAGGGCAGTTCTTTGTGTCATTGTGACCCACTGTTAAGGATTGATGGAGGCCATCTCCTCCAGGTGGAGGTCCCGAACCTGCCAATTCTCAATTTATTACCCTGTCAGGTAATAAAGATGTACAGGGCATTCCACTCATAACTTATGTGTACTTCATCTTGTATTTCCCCTGTTCTGTACAGATAGGGCTTATCTTTCCAACTCAACTTCCAGAGAGCAAGAACTGTACTTGTGCCACCTGGGAGCCTGGTACAAAATAAGCCAGGAATGGCAATGAAACTTGAAAGTGTTTTGTGGCAGTGCAGATCATTTGGAAGAAGCTCCCTGAAACACTACAATAAGAATGCTAAAGCTACATTCAGGTTCACAAGGGACAGGCTAATTATCAGCATCTTTCCTGGGCACAGAGTGAAGGAGTAGTAACAATGTGACAATTACCTGCCACCCCAGGAGGAGGCACTCAGTCCCAAGTTAAGCAAGCTCACATCTCCTCCTCCCCTCCCCAGCCCAGGGTGGGTGGAGCTGGAACACAGACCTGCATAGCTCCGGCCAGTACTCATGTTGGTTGGTAGCAGTGTCCACTTGTCCGTGACAGGATTGTAGTACTCCACTGAAGCCAGGTTGCAGGATCCATCATCTCCTCCAACCACATACAGGAGCCCATTCACTGCACAGACCCCTGGGAGTCAAACAGAAGTCAGCAGAGACATTAGGGCACCAAAGACCTGGATCTGCAGCAGATGCATGCTGGCTGCCCTGGAGGCTCATTCCCTCACACATGGTGGGACCACGGAGATCCAGCTCTGCAGGTCTGGGTTTGCTCAGAGGCGGCACATGCTGCCAACAGCCACTCCTAGGCTCTGAGGATCCCCTATCCTAACAGTTATTTCTCTCACTACCACACAGTCCCTCAGATGTTCCCTCCATCCCTTCTGATAGAGCATTGTGAGTTCTCTCAATGAATACTGAGCACCCAGCACAAAGATCTCCCAGCCCCGCAAGCTGGAGAACAAAACAGTTGAGTGATTTTGTACACACGCTACTAATTCTCTGCTTGTAAGCCTTCCCCTGTGTGGTGCTAATAGCAGTGTCTGTAACCCCTTCACAAGACAGGGTTCTAAACTCACACACCATTCCCAGGGTTCAGGCTCCCCTCCTATCCTTAATGGGATTACTTAATGGGATTAGATTACTCCTAATCTCAGAGTAAGCCAGTTGCGGGGCAAGGTATCAAGAAGTGGGGACTAAAGATTAAGAACGTATAACTAAGATGATGCCCTAAAAAGTAGTGTTGGTATCAGCGTTGGTGAGGATACTCTCAAATATTAGTGAGAGAATAAAATGGACCGCCTTCCTGAATGCACAGGTGCTCCCTCTGACTCAAAATTCCACTTTTCACCTTTTATTATAAGAATAATTTTAAATATGTGCATTGATTTAACTACAAGAACCATTTACAATAACCAAACTACTACTTAGACTCTAAGACAAGAAAATAATGTAAACAAATTCAGTGTATCATAGGATGTTGATGAAAGATGGTGAAGGGAGCTTTTAAAAGCAGTTATAAAACAGTGTTATAGTGTGACTCCATATTTGTTATTAACAGAAATATCTATATGTGAATATTTGCATATACTCCTGTTTACATTTAAACTTTTTCTCAGAGTTCAGATCCTGCCTTAGGGTCTGTAATTCCCTGCTCATGTGGCTTAAGGTCAAATGCCAAGTTAAATCACAGCAGACTCAGGCAATGAGTAAATCAGTAAACTTCCCCTGCGTTTATACTTCCAACAAGTCAGCCACAAATGGGTTTAGCAAACAGGTAATATAAGAATGAAGGTAATAATTCTGCCTGAAAAAAACCTGTTTGTCTTTCCAGCCTGGGAGGGTGGGCTCAGCTGATGCTTTCCCAAAGCACAGAGGCGTGACCAAAAGGACAAAACTCCAAAAGGAAATAGCTTGACAGGACTCTCAGGCTCCGGGAGATACACATCTAAACCCCCTAGGGAAGGAACAGGGGAAGGGAAAGAAAGGACAAGAGACACAGGAAGTACGAAGAAGGGAATAAAGGAAGAGGTTCTCCTGGAGAACAGTCAAGGGTCCAGCTCTCCATGTAAGGAAGGAGACTGGATTCAGGTAAAAGTGAGAGTCGCCTAGCCAGGCAAAAGCAATGAAGGGACGGGGCCAAGTGCTTGTCTGGCCCATGTCCACACAGTGCTGCACTTAAGCCATTGGGCAGGGGCACTGGTGACAGTCAGAGGTTTTTTTCTGGGTCTGTGTCAAACTGCATGCAGTAAAATAATCACCTTTCATGGGGGGACGAGGGGGATGACGACCCTTGTGCATCTAAATGCAGAGACCTGTGGCAAGTATTTTGTGTCCTGAGCTCTCCCTGCCCCTCACCTAGAGCCTGCCCAGCAGATGGATACTCCCTCCTTATTCAGTGTTCAAGCTCAGCTTGAGATGCTGAGAATCTCTCCCCTCTTCCTCTCATGGAGAGCTGTTACGTGCAGAGCGAAGAGGCCCAGGACTCCCACGTCCCATTACCTGCATTGCGTCGGCACATGTTCATGTCCGCCACCTGCTTCCAGGTGTTTGTTCCAGGATCGTAAACTTCAACACTCTTCCTCACCAAGGGCCCATCATGACCGCCTGTGGCATACAGCTGTCCGCTGAGCACCCCAACCCCTGAAAGGCAGAGCGGTGTCCCGGCCTTAGGCTGGCTACAGGAACCAGACACCATGAGGCCTGATGTCCAGCCCCAGATGGTCACCACCAGCAGGTGACTTGGGGAGTGCTGTTTTATCTCCCTGGACTTCAGTGTTCTCATCTGTAAAACAGATACAATGATACCCTTCCCGCCTCCTCAAGAGATTGCCAAAGTGGAAATGTTGAAATATATGGCAAATATGACCCCATTCCTGTTTTAAAAACATAAATATATGCATATTCATATGTGGTAGGTAAAAAGCAAAAAAAAAAAAAAAAGACTGAAATTCACCCAAACATTCAAAGTAGTTATTTCTGGGGAGTAAAATCACATTTCTTTCTTTTTTGCCTACCTATAATGCCTTGCCTTCCAAAACTGTTGCATTACTCAGCATTGTAATAATCGAGTCAAAGGGTTAAAAATTGAAACTAGCCATGCAGTAAGTGTGCTAAGATCATTACCAAAGAGACCTCCCTCAAAGTCTTGAGCGGAAGCTGTTTTTCTGCCCACTTCTCTCCTGGATGCCAGAGGGCATTAGACCAGGCACTGAGCTGGCCAGCCTGAGGCATCATTTACAAGCTTCAGTGCAGCCTTTTAAAATCCTTTAATACAAGTCAAGGAGACAAAAATCAATAAAGGAGGGTGGTGGCACCTAGAAAGAGCAACTGGCCTGGTGACTGGGACACCTGGGTTCTAGACCTGCCTCTAATTCCTCCATTGGGTGATCCTTCCCTTTCTGGGCCTCAGTTTTCCCATTTATGAAAGAAGGGGGATGGAATGAGTCAGAAATGCCTGTGGACTACTCCCCTCGGTGGACAGGCTGCATCTCCAACAGCTGGGGGATTTCTGAGAAGGTAGGTTCTAGGGCTTCGCTCCCAGACACACTGGTCAAGAGCCTGGAAAAGTTCCACGGGTAATTAGGATGTGCAGCCAGGTTTCAAATTCAAGAACTAAATTTGTAAAACACAAACTTCATATGGACAGAGAACTGTCTTATCCTTGCCTCGTTCCCTGTGCCAGGTAGTTTAAGTCCTCAGCGGACATTTGAATGACAAAGTGTGTAAAATTCCCTTCAGCAATTAGGTTAGCAAACTAGTGGTTCCTAGCAATTGCCCTAAACTAACAGCAGATGGAGCTGTTGTTCCGGCGATGGCTAGCTAATGGATGCAGGCCTAGTAAGTCAACTGGGTTCCTAAGCTCTACCTTCCCTTCCTCCAAGGTGGGCAAGAACTGCTACCCCTGGAACCCTGAGATGGCCTCCTTTCCCCTAAATATCCTCTGGTGTTGCCCACACCCTGCTGAGGAAGGAAGCAGCCTTCCAGGCACTCTGGGCGGCCTGATCCATGAACTCAGATGCAGAGGTTTCCTGTATCTAGAGCCCAGCCTGGGTACCTCCAAGGGTCTCAGGCACCTGGAAGATAGGGCCTTTGGTCTCTGGGCCCTCAGCCACCAAAAAACACCCCTAAGACAAGTATGTGGGTTCCCAAGTAGGGGGTGAGACTTGCCAGGGGTGAAGCAGCCAGGGCGACAATAATCTGAGGAAAGAGTTCATTCCCTAAGTCAAGGTCACTGTGTCTCCTAGGGACAAAGGTATTGGGATGACATAATCCTGGGTCTTTTACCTAGGTTTAAAAGGCAGTATCAGGGCTTAGTAACATCCACTCAACAGTAACCTTCTAAGCAGCTTACAGACAAAGGTTACTTCATCCACATGGATGAGTGTGAACTTTCAGAGGCAGGTGAGAAGTCCTAGTTTCAGCAGATTTGCCTCAGCACACTTTCCCCTGGGGAGCTTCCTCAGAACAGCCCAGCAGGTCAGTGTGCATAACCCGCTCTTCTGAGCTGTTCATACATGCGTGAGCCTTGTGCACCTGCTCTCATGCCTGGAGAACAGGAGAGGACTTCTAGGAAGTATAACGTATGGACACTAAAAAACCTAAGTTACTACAGGAGTTTTACGGAAGGGAAGAATCATGGGATCTGTGAGTTGAACTGGTCCTTAAGGAACATCTGCTCCAACCCACTCATTTCATATCTGAGAAACTGAAGATCAGAAATGGAGGAGGTCTTATCCAAGGTCACAGAGCAAGTTAGAACAGACCCAGCACTGAAGCCCAAGTTTCCTAACTGCCAGGCATCTGCTCCACACTCAGGAAGGGCTGACCTATCAGGATCAGCAGAGGCAAGCTCCTGAAAATAGCACTCCAAACAGGAACATACCAGAGCCAGAGCGGGTGGGGGAAGAGGGGAGAGAGAGGCGGAGGAGGGGTAACAGATGGTTACTTTGAGTTGTGGCTGGGAATCAGTAGCCACACACCAGAGGAACTGCATCCATGGACTCTGCCTACCCCCAGTCCTTTTCCTGGGGCCTCTAGGAACATGGAGAGACCAAGCAGGGAAAGAGGGACTACTGCCACAGCTCCTGAAACAGCCCAAAGGATCACAGAAGCACTAGTAGAAAACCACTTGGAAGTCATTCTCTTCCCATGTTGGAAGGGGGTAGATGTGAGGCAAAGAGGGGATGAGGGAGGGACACAGGATTATTTCCAGATGTGAAGACTTCCAACCTCAAGACAGGGATTTCAGACAGGCAGGCTGGGCTGTGTCCACTAAAGTCTGGGCGCTTGTCCTACTACCTCACAGGAATGAGCCTCTCGTGATTAATCTAGGGGTTAAAAGACAACTCTGGAGAGAGAATTCCAACTTTGGCAATTACTAGTTTTATGACCTTGGACAAATTATTCAACCCTTAGTAGACTTACTTCCAAAATCTGGTAAGTGGAATCAATATTATCAATATTGTAATATAACCAATATTGTATCTGCCGTTCAGGGTTACGCTGATTAAATATAATACTGAGGCACAGAAAGGGCCTATTAGGACAGTGCCTGGTCCCTAGTAAGCCTTCACTTTGAGGAGATATAGACCCTCCATACAAACAGGGTGATGATAAAGAACATTATTTCTTCCACTCTCTAGCAAAAGGATCTCTGGGAAAGGTGCACTTACAAGCACTGTAGCTGCAAAGGTGCTAATGGGATTATATACAGTAGAAGGAAAAAAAGAAGAAAAGTAAACTAAAATGTAAGGTTATGTCACTGGGCTCCAGACCTGGCTGTGCGCCAAGCAGCCAGTCTGCACCCTGAGACTCCCCTACCTGCACCACTGCGGCGGGTGCTCATGTCAGCCACATATGTCCACTCGTTGGTCGCTGGGTTGTACTGCTCCACGGTGCTCAGACACTGGCGGGAGGCCCCATCATAACCCCCAACGGCATAAAGCTTCCCTGGAACAGACAAAGAGGATGAGGATGGTGCCAGGGACGCTAGCAGGGCACCGAAGCTTGGCTGACGCCCACCTTTAACCCATAGGGCACTCTTACTTTAGACTGCTGGGCCCCCTTCCTCCAGAGGAATGCAGGCTTATGTCCCCAATAGGGGAAACTGTCTTCACATTTCTGCCTTCTACTTGCTCCTAAGTCCTGAGCTCTCTAGAAGCAATTCTGAACCTCGTTCTAAATAAGAACTCCAAAGACCCAGTTGAAGCTATGACTTGGCACCACCAGGCTCAACACATTCTTGCTGGTGAATTAGGTTAATGCTTCTCTAGAACAGAGCACCTGTACTGGATAGATGGAGAGCTGGAGGGCTCTCGGCTATTACCAGGCAGGCTAACCATCTGGCTAACGGCTTCCAATAACAGATGGGATAAATGTGGAAAAATCTTCTTCAGTGAGAGCCCAGACTCGAGCACATAGCCACTGTTTCTGTTCTTTCCGTATTTCCACAGGCAGAGCTTGTGTGTGGAGTGCTCTATGTAGATTCTGGGCTGAGGTGGCTGGACTTTTGTGCAGACAAAGCTGGGAGCTCCAAGCCATGCATGAGGGCCCTGAAGCACCATCATCTATTTTTAAAATAAAAATACCACAAAGCCATTACCCAATAGCATCATTTCTTCCTGGGGCTGGGGACTAGGAGCAAGATGGGACAAAGGAGCAGAAAATTGGTATTCTAGCTGCTTGACAACAGAGATTTGAACCTTTTGGATTTAATATTTAGTCTTAGAATGCGATGGGACAGCCCTTTCTGTAGGGGAGAGGAAGTGACCCTACTTCACCTGATCTTGGGGGGCGGGGAGCATGAGTTACAGAACAAGGATGTTGAAAACCAGCTATAGGCTGAGTAAAACTACCAAATGCAAATCTTTTTGACAGGATTATTTAATCAATACATTTTGGGGGTCATTATATGCTTATATAAGAGTACAACAAAAATGAGAAAACCTGAAATAAATACTTGAAGTTAAATTTTTAGGCTCAAAACTATACCCTACCACCAGGGTTACTGATGTATGTAAGAAATGTAAAATTTTTCTTCTATTGTCACTGGGCCTGGTTTTGTTTTCTTCCCCAGAGTCCTCTCCACTAACACTTCTGAAAAAAATAGACCTCTCCTGCGCCGTTCAGCCCTCACCAAAGTCAAAGCAAAAAAATCAAAACCAAAAACAAAACAAACAACAACAACAAAAAAAACCAAAACAGGCCACCCACATGGTGTGGCTGATTCAATGTGACCTTTCCTTAACACAACCCCACTCTGCTAGGGAGCTTCTGCCTACACTCTGATCCTAATACTCTCTTTTCCTGAGCAGAGATTCTTCCAAGAAGCCAGGAGAAACTATCCTAATTTCCTCTATGTTTTCTCAGGGTCCTTCAGACTCCACAGCGTGCAGGAGAGGATGCGAGGGAGGGGAGCAAACCAGACAATGCACAGAGCTGCGTTCCTGCCTCCACACCTAGACCCACTGCTGCCCCAGGTGACTCACAGCCCACGGAGCTTCACATTCAGGAGGGGAAAGAAAAGTGAGTTCCAATCTGTCCTCCACCTCCACAGGGCAGGCTCCAAGACAGCGCTTCTTCCACACACAGAACATGCTCACAACAGCCTTTGTCAAGGGGAGTATTCTAAATTACTACCATTAAGGCACCTCCTCTAACCCCCACCAGCCATTCCAAACCTGCATCAGCTGAAAAAAAATACCCACTCAAGGTTTCTCCTTGACTATTAACAGGGATTTGCTATTTTTAAGTCCTGGTCTATTGTTTCATATTCCTGGCTGAGGAACAAGGGGGGAATGGGAAGGTGGCTAGACAAAGCACTTAGATTTGGCAGAAAAATCAATTTCTGTTCCACCAAGAGGATGAGACTGCAAGAAACAATTTATCTTGGTAGGAGGAAAAAAAAAATCCTTGTAGTCACTTAAGATAACTTGTTTTGTGTGTTAAAATAGCTTTAAATGAAAATTTAAACTATGCAAACCAGTACAGAAAAAGAATATTTCTATTATTGTCTAACTGCATATTCCACTCTGCCCAAAGCATGTGTACATGGGTGTGTTCTTGCTGTGTGCGAGAGAGAGAGAGAGAGAGAGAGAGAGAGAGAGAGAGAGAGAACACACATCTGCATACACGTCCAAGTGAACAAATCTTCCAGTTGTCCCCATGCATCAGGACAGGCTAATGGGCCAGTGACATCCCATAAACTCTAGCCTTTTTGGTTCAAAAAATACTTTATGCCTTGGCACGTTGAATTCACACATATTTGTAAAACTCCTACCCATTAGCACTTGTTAATGGTCTGAAGGAGCAGAGACAGCACAGCACAGTGGAAGAGCATTGGGCTGGAGCTGGGAGACAGGCTGAGGACTGGCTGTGCAGTTCCCTACCACCGCGATGTGCAGCTCATCCCTGAAACTCTTTGGGACTCAGTTTCTCCATCTGGAGAGAGTGGAGAAACTCTAAGTTCTGCCAATCTTCTTCAGAAGAGTTTTGGGAATAAAATGAGAGACGGATAATTTACAAACAACTGCACACTGTCTGGCCAGGCCCCCAGCCTTACCCCGCACACTTCCAACTGCCCTGCGGAGAGAGTTGTCAGACCTGAGAAGAGGCTCTGCTTAATGTGCCATGTTTGCACATGTGAGAAAAATGTTCAATAGGGGGTGGGGTTGTGGCTCAGTGGTAGAGTACTTGTCTAACAAGTATGAGGTGCTGGGTTCAATCCTCAGCACCACATTTTAATAAATGAAGTCCCATGAACAACTAACAAAATATTTTTTAAAAATTAATCCAAGAAAATTAATCCACCACAGTGGGGACTCTGGGTTCCTACTCTCAGCAGAGCTGTTGACAAGTGGACAGAGACAGGATGGCATTTTCTCTGGGCTCTTCCTGTTTTCCCCAACCCAATCAAACACCTCTCAGCCCTGGGCTAAAGCTTCACCTCCCTCATCTCAACCACCCTCTTCTGTTAAATCAGGAACAATGGCTTCTAATTCAGCAGTGATCTGAAAAAACGGAGCCATGTTAGAGCATCGAGCATGAGGCCAGACCCAGCACAAGGTCTGGGGGCCAGGGTAGGGCTGGCCACCCACTGCTGCCTCCTTACCCTCCACAACGCCCACACCCACACTGCTGCGCCGCGTGTTCATCGGGGCCACAAAGAACCACTCGTTGGTCTTGTAGCTGTAGGCTTCCACCGACGCCAGGCCTGGGAGACAAGAGACTCGTGAGATTCTGCCGCACCAGGCCTCCGCTGACAGTGGGGAGTCCAAACCTGGGGGCTGCAGACCTGCATGCATGGCCTGGTGCCACCTCTGCCTCTCTATGTGGCCCTTGACAACTCCCTGAAACACATCTGTAGTGGCCACCTGAGGGGACACTAAGACTTGACTCAGAGGACGGGTTATGAGTGGACGGGGGTGTGCCTGAGCTGTTCTGCCAAGGTAAATAAGTCACTGAACTCACAGAAAGGAATGCTTTGATTCCAAGCAGAGACGTGAGGCTGCCTCATCGAGCCCCTGTTCCAACTCCCTTTTCCCTGGTCTTCCTCTGCCTCTGGAGCTAGAAAGTTAAAAACTTGCCTTTGAAGATTCCCTTGCAGCTAGGGGTGACCAAGTCAATGATATCTAAGTAGAAATCTCATTGGGATTTCTGAAATAACCTTTACTTTTCTGAGATAGGTGCCACTCTTTTTTGCTTTTGTTACCTGGAACACAAATGTATTGGCTGGAAATAGAACAACCACATTGTGATTAGAAGGAAAAGGCCCAGAGAATCTTAGGAACTTGGCCCCAATTTCCTTGAGCAATTAGATCAAGTCAGGAACTCCTTTTCTTGTTTTTCAAAAATAAAACAAAAATTCTTTATTTTAAAGCCATAGTATAGTTGGACTTTCTACTTAGAACCAAAAAAGCAGGTCCTAAATGAAGCAATGTACCGCTATCCCTTCTGCTCAATAAACATAGCCTCCAGAAAAGCTAAAGACCATGGAATTTGTGAAGCAACATGAAGAATGAGAAACATCACCAAATCGTGAAGACATAAATGAAACTTCAGAGAAGTAAAAAATATTGTGTTTTTACTTTTTCTTCCCTTGTGGCTGAAGAACACCATTTTATTTTAGTGAGTTGGTGTCTACAGAGACATCTACCCAGCAGTATGAGTACAGATGAGATCTTCTCTCCAAGTCCATGTCTTCTAATGGTTCAGACTGAAATTTTTGAAGCAAGGTAAAATCCAGGAGCAAGGAGTCCACCTGTGGTGGCCCAGTCTAGGGAGGCTCAGTGGGGCAGTAGAAAGGGCAATGGACAAGCCTGGCTGCCAGTGTGGCTTGAGCCGGGCTTCGTCCCACTGCTGAGCCTTTGTTCCCTTATCTGTTCAGTAGAAGGTGCAGACTAGGGACACTTGAGTGTAGGCTCCTTCCCAGAGCCCTAGAGATCATACATGGAGAGTTTCATAGTCTGTATGAATATGTTCCTATTCTTTGGGGGCCTGGCTATGGCTCCAAAAGCTGGGTAAGGAAGGATGGTGCCGTAGTTTGGTTCCTATTGCCCCCAAAGGCCCATTGTTGAAGGCTTGGTTCCTGGATCAGTGATATAGGGTACCTTCAGCAGAAGGGGCCTTGAAGGAGGTCTCTGGGTCACTAGGAGTGTGCCCTTGATGGCAGTGTGGGTCCCACTTCCTGTTCCCTTTTGCTGCCTGGTGATGAGGCGGGCAGGTTTGCTTGGCCATGTGCTCCCTCCATGAGGTGCTGCCTCACCACAGGCCTAAAGCAAAGGGTGACCTGAGCAGGGACTTGACCTTCAAAACCATAAGCCAAAATAAATCTTCTCCTTATAACTATCCCAGAGGAAAGCTGAGTAACACAGATGTGTGTGTTGCTGGGGCAGTGCTGCAGAAGGACAGATGTCAGCCCAGCAACTGGCTGGACAAAATGAGGCTGCATGGAGGGTGTACCCAGGTGGGGATGGGGAGGGAATAGGTCCTGGACCTACCAGTACTGCCATCGAAGCCTCCCACCGCGTACAGCAAGTCATTGAGCACGGCCGCACCCAGTGTGCTCCGGCGCTCCTGCATGCTGGCAATGGACGTCCACTGGTCCTTCACACCGTCATACACGTCCACAGTCCGCACCCGCAGGGAGCCATTAAACCCACCCACAGCATACACGTGGCCGGCCATGAACACCACACCTGAGGCACAGGAAACCAAGGCACGAAGGTTAGGTCAGGTGGCTGGCTGAGCATGTTGATGCATGATTACGTGGGAGCAGGCAGGCAACACATAACTCACCACAGAAGACGATCTCCGACTACAGACACCTGGGGGTCACTATGGCGCTCACTGGATTTCTTTTCCCATTTGTTTTTCTAATTTTACTTGATTCAAGCAAATGCCTGAATTTGCTTACTCTCCCAACCACGAAAGAACTGACCACAGAAGGGATAGCCCGAAACCAAGCAGGTAGGGAAGGCAAGGGAGCCTGAAACACACAGGTGTCTGAAGAACTAAGGAGCACTGCATGACTTCCAACACAGGGCACTAATCAGCCAGGAAAACGCAGCTGCTGGACTGGGGGACTCACCGGCTCTGCATCTCCTGGATGGAAGCTCTGCAATCTGATCCCACCGGTCCTCCTCAAAATCATAGCACTCCACGCTGCGGATTGCCTTGGGTGCTTGGCCACCAACCACAATCATGACCTCCAGAAAGACAAGGGGACATTAGCTGGATCTTCCTAACACCAGATTAATGGGTGATCTATCCCTGGTTCTTCTACATGCTTAGTGCCCAGGGGCTATGCGTTATCTGAGCTCCCAGTTTACAGAGGTACATATGTGAAGATGCTGCCACTAGTCACCAACATATATGAATATTAAAGAAAAAGCTAACAAGCCTCTTCCTACAGAAACACAACCATAAGTTCTACAGTTCCAAAATACCCTAGTTGGGGTAATGGTGGGGGTACATTAAGCTTAAGCATCCTCCACAATCTCAGTACCCTGGAGGACTGGGATGGGAAGTTCAATTTTACAGTGAAACAAACTTGAATATATTTTAGAAGAGTGCAGAATTTGGATGCATTAAGAAAAAAATATTACTTAAAAGTATTTCTAAATGTCTAGCCTGCAGGGCACACTCATTGCAGTATAGAAAAAAATATTTGTACAATAGTATATGTGTGATGGTTATCACAAAACTTATTTAACTGATGATGCTTTGAAAAATGGCACTAACAGTGGCTATTTCCACAGGTACAGCAGTCACTATCACTGTGGGGCAGTGTTAAGTGTGTCGTCATTCACTTGTCACCATGACCCTGTGATACAGACATTATCATCCACATTGACAGATGAGGGGAGTAAGCTCAGAGAACAAGGCCCAAGGTCACACATGTAGGGGTGGCAGAAGAGAGGCTAAAACTGCAGGCAACCTGACACAGGCCTGAGGCTGGCCCTACCCCGCCTGTTCTGAAGAGTAGGTCCGTAGTCCATGAAAACACAGGTCATTGCATCTGTTTGTCAAAATGTAGGTCACATTTCATTAGTGGGTTATGAAATAAATTCAGTGGGTTACAACTAGTGTACTTTTGTAAACAGGACAGAAAATACCATAGCAAGGATGCTATTTCATGAAATAGCCAGGACACCTGTGTGTCCTCCAGATGGCATTTCCTACTGCAGGACTTGGTCAAAAAAAGGAAAGCCATCGCTAAACTGTGGAACCAACCTAGATGCCCTTCAACTGATGAATGGATAAAGAAAATTTGGTATGTATACACAATGGAATACTATTAAGCATTAAAAGAAAATAAAATCATGGCATTTGAAGGTAAATGGATGGAGTTGGAGAATATAATGCTAAGTGAAGCTAGCCAATCTAAAAAAAAAACAAATGCCGAATGTTTTCTCAGATATAAGGATGCTGATTTATAATGGGGTTGGGGGGTAGCATGGGTGGATTAGATGAACTCTAGATAGAGCAAGGGGAAGGAGGGGGAGGGAGGGGGAATGGGGGTAGGAAAGAGGGTGGAATGAGATGGATATCATTACCATAAGTACATGTATGAAGACATGAATGGTGTGACTACTTTGTGGACAACCAGAGTTATGAAAAATTGTGCTCCATATGTGTAATATGAATTGTAATATATTCTGCTGTCATATATAACAAATCAGAATAAAAGAAATAAAGGAAAGCCATCACTCTGACTGCATTCATTAACAGAACTGCAGTGCATACCTAACTGTGGCACATCCCCATTATTGAGACTCTTGTCACATGCCACCACTAAATAAGAATTAAAATACCAGAGCTAACTGTAGTTTACACATTTTAATAACTGGGCACATTCACACTGTTACTGTATGACACAGTACACTCAATTGCACCCCAATACACTTTCCTGAGCAGAGAGAAAAGGGTAGAAGCCACAGGCAGCCAACACAAGCCACGGGATTGTTTCCTGCAACCTGTCTTATTCACCCAATGGTTCCAAAAATTCAGTGTGCATCAGGTTCACCTGAAGGGCTGTGAAAACACAAACTGTGGTCCCCCACTCAGAATTTCTGATTTAGCAGGTCTAGAGTAGGGTTGAGAATATGAATTTGTAACAAACTCCCAGGTGATGCTGCTGCTCTGTTCTAGCTTTCATACTTGGAGAACCACTTTTTTAACTCATGGCCTGTAGGAATTTCATAATGATGCTAATGGTATGCCATCAACAATTTTTGCCATTACTAATAATCATAGTGCTTTTTACTTCCCCACAATGTACTCTGGGGGAGAGGACAGAGCATCAAAACCTGCGTGAGCACACAGGAGCACAACTCTCAGATGGACATTATCTACCATAAGGGGAAGCAAAACCAGATCAGACAACCATTGCCCAAGATCAACCATTTATGCCCCAAGATGCCAGATTAGGCTCATGCACTGCTCACATGGTGACTGCTGATCACTAGAGTTAGCCCACCAAATTTGAGTCATTCAAAGCTCAGAAATCAGTTCTAACTTCTAAAGCATTCCACAGGAACTCAGGACATAGGTCAGGCTTAAACTACTACTGCTTCCAGGCAGGCTTTCCTGCATGCCTCAACTCAGAAGGTCCCACTGCTCTGTGTCAAGAGCAGCCTTTTTCAGAGAAAAGCTGGATTCTTCCCATCTGTGATTCTTTGCTTACATAGGCAGCCATAAGCAGGTCCAGGGTATACTAATGAACACAGCCTCTCAGCAAACTTCAGATTATGCCCAACGTACTCCTCCAGAGCAGAAAGACTAGTCCTATGTTCATAAGCATACCTAGAACTTGCATTGTCCTAAACTAAACTGAAGGCAAGATGTTGCAAGGATTTTCTTCAAAATCGAATTTCTGGAGTTGAGAGGGAATAAACCCAGATTTTAGTTTTCTCTCTGCAGGATGCCACCCCTCACTCTTGCATACAACATTCCGTCTACTTTAGATATTCTTCCTCTTTTTGATCCTTTTGCTTTAACACCTGCTTATCTTCCAGGTCTTAGTTTACATGTCTCTTCTTCAGAGAGGGCTTCTTTGACTCTGTGTCTGAGCTGCATGTCCCTCTACAGAGTGCTTAGCTACCCTGTGTGCTCTGCTTTGTGCTGTGACCATTTAGTGATTTGTCTGTCTTCCCACCTAGACAGTAAACCCTACCAGGACAGAAAATCTGTCTGCATCAATCACCAAAATAATCCAAATAATGTCCTTATATTGCCAGGTAAAACTGAGGGCTCAGATGTTTCTTTGAAATTAAAAAATTAATGAATAAAAAGTAAATAGCAAGGAGTCGAATGAAAAAAAAATAATCAAATGAAAAAAATATAAAACTGGAATGTCACTTTCTTTGGTTAAGATGTGTTGGAACACTAGATTACAATTCTGGCAATATTGAGGAAAACAAATGATATAAAAAAAGGAAAAGTAAGAGATTTTCCCACCTTTGACTCAACCATCAGAACAAAGCATTACTTGTTCCTTGCACAAAGTATCAAGCTTCTTCTTTAAATTAAAAAAAAAAAAAAAGGTAAAGCTTTCAAGAAACCTCACCATGTCCTAGAAACTGTCTCCTGCCAAGTGAGGGGGCACATTCATACTGGAGAAAATCCACCACTTGTGGAAGAACTTTCATTGTAACACAGAAACAATATTACAGAAATGGAAAGTTTCTCATGTTAAAATAAAACCTGAGTACAAGGACAAAAATAATACAGGATACATTTTCAAAATAAACTTGCCTCTGAGCTCACAAAAACACTAATGAGAAATGACTTTTAACATTCAAACCTTATATGATAGTCTGAAAAGAGGAACTGTAAAGGTTTTGGTAGGGTAGGATGGTCACTTCTGAGGGGGATGGTGGATCAAAGCAGCAAGGAGAAGCAAGCATACATTCTGCTTCTTTGCAGGTATAAGAAATCCAATTTTTATGGCAGTTATTGCAAGAAGCCATTTGTACAAGGAGCACAGTATCCCCCATTGTGGTGATCATGCAGAGTATAAAGAATAAATTTCCTATCTTGACTACTATAGAGAAGTTGTTTCCATAGATACCTGATCTTAACAACCAATTAGGCAAATATGAGTATTCCCAAAGTCTACATGTGTTACATCTCTGAAATTACAAACTTCTTGCTGCTTAAGACCACAGGCTGTTAGGGCAAGGACAGACTTAAACCATTTTCTCTGGGGAGCCCTCACCCAGGCCCAGGTAGTTCAACAGGGATATCCCTTTCTTTCCCCAACACTGATAAACCCCAGCTTACTAAAGACTTATGAGGTCTTCAACAAAGACAATGGAATCACATCAGCTTCTTTTATTGATCACTATTTTTTAAAAAGTGACAGGGTCTCACTATGTTGTCTAGGTTGGCCCCAAACTCTTGGGCTCTAGTTGTCCTCTGCCTCAGCCTTCCCAGGACTACAGTCTCCATCCATCACACCTAGCAATGATTACTATTTTTTAACATTTTGTATAAGCATAATTGGTAATATAGGAATCCTAATAAGCCCAAGAACTGATTCTGGTCTAACAATGATGCTGGACTGAACATCATTTAATCACTCCTGAGGACTGCAATGTCCTCGGGAGTCTTGCTAGTTGCCTCAGGATCCTGATCCCAGGTCTCCACTGTGTTAAAGGCTGCAGACATTCTGGTGCCTGGAAAGCTCTGGTTTGTAGAACATGAGTGGTTATTCGACATCTCTCAAAGAAAACACCCTCTCACTTCGGAAGGTAAAAGGGACATTTATTTTAGTGAGACCATGGAAAGACAACCTGATTTCTTAGAAAAGAAATTCCAGAATAACAAGTTTTTCATACATATATAATGTTCTTTTGCATAGATCATTCTAGTTCTACCAGTATGACTGGGATTGAAGGCATGTTGGTCTCTCCTCACTGAAATGATAACCACTCTGTCTAAGAACCATTAGATCGGAGAGACTAGTCAGGAAAAGGGACAGTTGGTGAACAGAACAGAGCTTTCAAGACCCTAACCCTGGCCTAGGGCTACAGAAGTCATTGGCATCTCCACTCAGGTGAAAGGAGCAACCTGGGCTCTGCACAGTTTCTTCACAGGGCAAGAGCAGAGTATGTCCAAACTCTATTCCATGACCAGCGAGCTGGGCAGAAGGCAGGCCCAGCCAGTCGGTCCCTCGGGCCAGGGCAGGAAGTGAGTCTCTCTT